TTCAAGCTTGCGTTTCTATTTGTCATTTGCTTCCAGGAGCAGTTGATTTTCTTCAAGGAGGTGCTGTTCAAAGAGATTTCCATTGCAAAACTCAACCACAGAATTATAAATAACCTCCAATTGTCCTTGCAGAGGGGCCCCACCCAGGTTGCTTAAGAAATCCTCGGGTTTGTTTGTACCTCAGCTTCATGGTGAGCAATTGCATGAGCCCAATCCAAAGTGAACAGGTGGGCTGGAAGGAGAGATGCTGAAGTCGGGATCTTTGTCCAGAAAAATGACTCAAACACCTCAACCAGTCTGATTGAGAAGGCTTTGAGCGTAGCTGTCAATTCTTTTGGTGGTGAGGTATGGGACTTTTGAGTTTTCTTTTGTATGAATGGGTTGATTATTGGTCTAGGTAATAGAGCGTGATTTTCCAAAATGTCAGAGAAATTCTTGTTCGTAAGTTGACAAATGTGATTGTTCCTTCTGGATCACAGTTTGAACATTGGCATTTGGGAAACCCTTCATCAATCTTGCTCTGCTCCTTGTGTAAGTATCTAAGATCATCTTTGGACATAGGAATGTGTCCACATCTGTTCATTAGAGATGAAAAAAAATGATCCTTGTCAGCAAAATGGTAAAATCCAATCATACTTACTTAATCACTCACAAGTTATCAAGTGAAAATGCAATTCTCAGGCAAACCGGCGTAACTGCTAACGCATCCATCCGGTTATTGTCACTTTGTTCCTTCAAATTCTTTCCATTTTTTTGTTCCTTCTTCATGAAAAGAATTGTCAGGCCAGGTCTTCCATCTCGGCCACCACTGGCCCATCATCTGGCAAATATTTAATGGGTCTGCCCGTCCCATGTGAACGACCTTTCGTATCTGATTCCAGTTTTGGCCTAACCCAAGGGCCATTGTGCAGGAAATGTAGGGAGACTTTCCACTGGCAAAGGCTGTGACAGCGCCCTCCTTGGCATAATCCCCAGTGTTTGTATGATAATGGCTGATCATCGAGCTCCAAGGATTGTATTCAGCCCCATGCATACCACGTGCCTTGTTAACGTTTTTCATCACTTGAAGTGTGGCATTTCTTTGGCCTGAGTAGATTAACATCGGCGCAATATCTTTACTGTGTGTTTCCTGCTGTTTGATTATTGGAATGAGATCATGGTCTGATTTCAAAGAGTGGAGCATTAGTAAGCGCAAGATCCTAATTTCAGGTCTTGTTAGTTCTGCTCTGACAAATGTAATATTGTCCTTGGTAATCTTCAAATTCTCTAGAACTGATTGAATAGCCACTGGCCAACAAGTAGCCAATAAGAGGAGAATTGGCACTCCTTCAGTAGCATCTAGCTGGGCAGCCATCTTGCCATATGAAGGACAAAATATGGCGACATCTTCTGTTCGACCATGGGCAGACGACTTCTTTGCCTTTCCCCAAGCAACTAAACCCCATGAGTAAATCATTTGGGCCTTGTCTATGACTATGGTGGCCAAACGACTTTGAAATTCCTCATTGTAATACACCTCCCTGAAGAGGCCATTGTTCAGGAATACTTTGGGACTCTGAATTGATTATTCTGATGTTAGTGTATGATCTTGGCTAAGAATTAAACAGATGTTCCACATACAAAATATCCAAAATTGAATACACCATCAATTATTTGTGCCGCAACCCAAGAGTTAAGCTGCATTTTTGTAAGATTGATAGCCGTGAAACCAGCCCGCTAGTTTTCTAGGACCTGTTTTGTGATTCATTGACTTTGTGAGATCAAAAACAACCTCATGTAAATTTAATCTCAGATATCTTGTGGAATTCACACCTGATTGTCTCCCAGAGCATCTAATGGATTCAACACCAACACAACCACTTTCTTCTTTTTTTCAAACAACCAGAAGTACAGTGGGTAGACAGTGAAAAGTGACTGCTTATTTTGGATTCCAGAGCTCTGGAAAACAAACTTGAAGTCATGAGACTTGGTCAGGTGGTGCATAATAGCTCCCCAAAATTGAATATGGAATAATAAAAGCAAAAAATAAAGTTTGAAAATTTGTGAAAAATAAAAAATAAACTTGATTTTTCCAAAAGCTTTGATATTCATTTTGGGGGAGTGGGAGTGCTGAGAGAAAGAAAGAATGGAACATGGCAAGAATGATTATAAATGAAAAAAGTTGGAACCAAAAAAGGTTTGGCCAGGTTGGTGGCCCAGATTGGAGCCAAAACAGTAAATTCTAGTGCTTTGCTGCAATGTGGGGTGGTGAATGCCTCACTCAACAGCTGTTTGAAGCCATCTGAAAACCAGTTTTTCCAAAATTTTCATTTATAATCATTTTTCTCATTTCCCAATCTTTCTTTCTCTCAGCACTCCCACTCCGCCAAAATGAATATCAAAGCTTTTGGAAAAATCAAGTTTATTTTTTATTTTTCACAAATTTTCAAACTTTATTTTTTGCTTTTATTATTCCATATTCAATTTTTGGGAGCTATTATATTATGCACCACCTGACCAAGTCTCATGACTTCAAGTTTGTTTTCCAGAGCTCTGGAATCCAAAATAAGCAGCCACTTTTCAATGTCTACTAGGCACTGTACATTTTGGCAGTACAACTTTTTCCAAAACCGGTCCCGGCCAGAACAAAGGTATTCTGACCCCAGACAAGTGAACAGACAGCATCAACCTGGCATCATTTTGGCTCCTGATTGTAACACAACTGCGCCTTTTCCGTAACGTGCTTGTGAAGCTTAACTTCATCTCTGCAAAGGAGTGTTTCAGACACCTCAATGTGCTTGCTTTGCTTAAGTTGCTTATCAAAGAATGGATCCATCCTGATGTGATTGATGGATGTCAAGGATGTCTTCAATCTCGTTTTACAGCTATGATTTTCCTCTCTAACTTACTGAGGATCTCACTGATTCTGCTTGTTCTTTTTTCATTGTCTCTTTATGGGACAGTAATTGTAACTGTCAATGGTTGATTGGTTTGTTGAAAAAAACACACATACAACTCAAGGCTTGATAATGCTTTCAAAAATCCTCATTCATGTAGTTTTATTTTATTTTTGTTTTTTTTTCTCAGTGTGGTTTGATCTATCTTTTTTGGCGTAAAAAACAGCCAAAAAACGTGATTGCAACACCCGGGCGTGTTTGTTTCGGGCTCAAGCCTCTCCCGCACTTTGGGCGTTTGACGGAGAGGCTGAGCAAGCTAGTAGCCCACCCTGCTTCCCAGCTGGCAAATCCACAGTTTTAGACACCTGGGTAGAATTTGCTCAGTCACACCACACCAAGAAATCTAAAAAAGTCCAACTCTCTGAGCTAAAAATCTGTCCCGCAGCAGTTTACAAACCATGATTTCATACAAACATCTACCAACACTACCAGACAGCCACTCCACTCACATTAGTTTGCATACCAGCTACGTTGTGGTAAGCCACTCCTGAAAATTCAAAGACAGCAAGAGTACAATTCACAGAGGAATCACAGGATCAAGACACCCCAGAAAGCTCCCCAGACCCCCAAACCAATCATGAATCCCCTCAAGCACAGACCACATGGATAATAATATTTCCCAGACAGAAACTCACTCTCCTCCAGACATATTCCATTCTTCTTTCTCCTTGTGTCTCACACTAGTAACAATCCCCTTGTCCATGAAACTGTTATCTCCTCCTATTTTCTTCCATGGAATATTCTTCCCCTTAGTTGTTTCATACTAGTAACCTTGGGAGCATTTTCCCACTGCTTGTTTCCCCTGTCTCTATGGATAAATATTTTCCCTTGTTTCATACTCTTCATAGAATGTTCCATTTATCTTCTAACCACAAGCTGGCCACTCCCCAGAATTTTGTATATAAGGAGCTTTGTTTTCCCCCTTCATTTGTTCCCCATCAGATCCTGCCCCAGCAATCCAGATAACTGATCACCCATTATTAGCCAGGTATTTGCCCATCAACATTTGGGATACCTTGATTTGTGAACAAGTATATTTAGACTAGTAAACATAAGACATATTAGACATACCATTCTCAAGAAATCTCCAAAGCCACACCTTTCCTTAAGAGTCCATACTCTTATATTTTCTTGTTATCAGAGAGGCAGCCCAATAAAGCACTCATCCCTCTCAAGCTCTATTCATCCCAAGAGTAGTTCCACAACGTACACCACGGGGCAAGTCTTTTGAAACTGGCCCCATCCGCTGGATGCTTTCCTGAGGAGAGCGTCCAACAGATGCAATCAGAGAGTCCGAGGGACGCTCTGGCAAGCCAGCATCACTTGGATGCTTTCAAAAGCATCCAAGTGACGCTGGCCAAATATGAAGCGTCTGATGGACGCTATGATCTATTGTCCATTGGATACTCTCCAACCGAAAGTGTCCAATGGACACACTAAAATCACTGTCCATGGGATACTCCAGCCGGAGTATCCAATGGACAGTCTCTCAGGTTATTACTGCGCATCCAATGGACACTCTGGCTCAAGGAGTGTCCATCGGATGTGCATACCATCAAAGTTGGATCTGCATTTGATGCAATCCAACTTTGTTTGATGCCGTGGTTGATGGTTGAATTTTGCTTTCTTCAGAAGCAATTCCTCCATTGACTACAACGAAACCACCCCAGAACACCCCAAAACCACCCAAAACCACCCAGACCCACCCCAAGACCATCCAAACCCCCCCACTTAGAAAATAATAATCAAAAACTGCAAAAAAAAGGCTGATCCCATTAGATCCCAGAAAAACCCCAAAAATCCATCATATATATCATGTCTGGTCCTTCTGCCAAGCCCCAGAACCTCAATTTGATCCTCTCCTCCTTGAAATGAGTGAAAAAAAGAAGAAGAAAAAGAAGAAGAAAAACAAATGTAGATAACACTAAAATTGTAGATGATAACACTAGAAAAGTAGATAATGATGATAGCCCTCCCCCCTCTGAAGACTCTGAAGTTCTTGTTAAAAAACAGTAGATAAAAATTCAAAAAAAGTGGAAAATAAAAAAGAAAACCAAAAAAAACATGAAAAAGAATGTGATTGTAGATAGTGATGAGGATGATGATTTCAGTAGTGATAATGAAGACTCTAACCCCAAATCTGAACATCAAGATCAACCAATTGGACCCCCGGGCTCAGCTCCACCGGACCAGATGTTTGAAGATCCAAAGGAAATGGTTCAATCCGTCAAGAAATTTGCTTGTGATCATGGCTATATGATCTCTCTCAAGACAACTAAACAAGTAATGAGACTAGAAAAGCTTTTAAATGCTCCAGGTATTTTATTTTTCTCCATCACTTCACCTTTTTCCCCAACTTCAATCTTTCTGTATGTGATTTTTTGGTTATATTTTTTTTCTCTTTAATTTAGAGGAGGTCTTCCAGCTCAAGCCAATCAATCCTCTTCCAAATTAATTGACTGTCCCTTTCTGGCTGTTGCAAGATTTATAACTAGCAAAGGTCACTGGACATTCACATTTGTCAAATCAACTCACAACCACCCCTTTGACTCCAATCAACTTCCTGCTTGGGGAATTCACCAACTTGAATCTGAACTCACAAAAGAAATTCAAAATCTCCTCAGCTACGGTTTGGAGCCCAAAAATATTGTTCTCCAACTGAACAAATCCCACCCAGGTCACTCTATAGTTCCAGCCAATCTTTATGCAATCAAAATACTGGCCAATCATCAAGCTTTGAAAATTTCTTCTCCAAATCTTGAGTTGAAAAAATCCCTCACCACATCTCAATGCACCCTTGAAGAAAATCTCACGGCCAGTGGAGAACTCAAGGCTCTTTTTTTCTTCCATCCTTCTTCTCTTCAACTCCTCTCTCAATATTCCTCAATACTCTCTATAGATTCCACTTACAACAAAAATAAGTACAAAATGCCCCTTCTCCATATTCCTGGTCTGGCTGGGAATAATTGACCTTTTTCCATAGCTTTCTCTTTTACTTCTGATAATTCTTCCACATAATTTTCCTGGTCTCTCAAACACCTTCACTCTCTATTCACCACCTATCAAATTCCTCTTCCTCAATTATCCTTGACTATCCACAATCCAGATCTTCTCGATAATCTTGACAAAATCTTTGCCAATACCCAACATCTTCTCTCTGCAAACCACATCTATCACAATATTAAAATCAATGCCAAAAATATTATAAAAGATAGCCAGTTTGAATCCAAAATGCTTGAATTGTGGTCCACTTTGATCAAAAAACCTACTTCCTCTCAATTAAATGAACTCTATCATTCAAAAATAAAATATAGATGTGGTTATCCTTCAGAATTTATTAATTTTCTAGATTCTACTTAGATTCCCCTGATTGAACTCTTTACCAATCCTTGGACTAAGAATCTTCCCCACTTTGACCACCACTCTCTTCAAATTCATGTCCATCACAAATATTTAACATCTATCCTCTTCAGCAAGGCCAACCACTACCCAGAAACGATTGAATCCCTCTCTTCCGTACTCAAAAAAGAAGAAGAACTCATCCAAAACAAATTTTCACAGAAAGAAGTCAAAACCCTCCAAAGAATAAACACAATCTTCTCACCTTGTCTTGGTAGAATTTCTCACAGGGCTCTCAGGAAGGCTCAACTGAATTTCAACAACCAAAACAAGGAGGGGTTTGGCCCTCCTTGCAATGAATCTCACAGAAAACAGGCAGGAATCCCCTGTGGTCACCAGCTCCAGTCAATCTTCAAAAACAACCTGAAAGTTCAGCCAGGGGAATTTGATCCCCAATGGCATTACAAAGTGGGTCTTTTTTTCTTTTCTGGGGCTCTTTTCTTCATGAAGGAATTCTTTCTCTCTTTTCTCTTTTCTTGGGGGACTCTTCTTTTTTTCCTGGGGCTTTCTTCTCTTTTGTTGGGACTCTTCTTTTTCTTTGGGCTCTCTTCTTTTCTTTTTTCCCTTCTTTCTTGGGATATCTTGATTTTTTTATTAGGGGGGGCTTTTTCGTGCCTTGAATTTTGGATGGAAGGTGGTCAAACGTCAAATTTAGGACCCAAAATCCGGTCGATGGTCAAAAAATCGACCATCTGGATTTCCCAACCATCCACCAATCAAGGGTCAATGGTCAATTTTTAGACCCCAAATCTGGTCAATGATCAAAAAATCGACCATCCCAATTGACCTGCCACGCCCCTATCAATGGTTGATGGCTGATTTTTAGACCCAAAATCCGGTCAATGGTCAAAAAATTGACCATCCACCAATCAAGGGTTGATGGTCAATTTTTGGACCCAAAATCCGGTCGATGGCCAAAAGACAGATTGCCCTGCCACACCCCCATCAGTGGTTGATGGTTGAAATTGCAAACTGAAATCCGGTCAATGGTCAAAAAATTGACCATCTGGATTTCCCCTCCACCACCCACCAGTGGTTGACGGTCAGAATTGCCACCCAAAATACGGTTGATGGTCAAAAAAAATAGCTACCATCCGGATCTCCCCCACCCCACATCTCACCCCATTTTTTGAAACATATCCACAAAAACAAGTCATTCCCCACACCTCACCCCATTCCTTTTGAGCCTGAAAATAAAATTTTTATTAGTATTTCCCCCACCCCTCACCCAAATTATTTTTACAAGTTGAAAAAAAAACTAGTTTCCCCCCCCCCCACTTAACACATATTAAAAGACAATTGACAATCTTTTTTTTCCCATCAGGAACCACCACCTCATCTCTCAGTCAGAAAGGACAAATTGGCTCAGAAAAGGAAAGTTTTGCAGGCTCAACTCTCCTCCTTAAACCCAATTGAAGAAAATACCAAACTGGATCAAATTTCTTGCGTACTGGATGGATAAGCTACTATTGTCAACATCAAGAAGCCCAAAGCAAATCCAGAGTCACGTGCCAAGCCCAAACCCCAAGCTTCCTCCAAGAAGCGCAAACTTGAAGATTTGTCCCCTCCCTCCAAGAATTTACTCCAGCTCACAGGCATTTCCTCACAAAGCATCACCATTCTTAATCCACAACAAATATCTCAGCCACCCAAAAAGAAACTCCGTCCAATCCGCACTGTGAAGCTCCTTGAACATCTCCCAGATTTCATCCAGCCACATGTTGAAAAAATTGAAAATGTGAAGGGATGGTCACTGTGGGTTCAGGTCTGCTGCTTTCTGCTTGGGAAAAGGCAAAGGATCATTCTTGAACATTCAAAATCAACTCAACAATGAAATCCCTGAACAAAAGGATTTTTACCTCAAGATAGGATACTTTGAAAATTCTAAGCAATGGGAAAACGCTTTAGCTAGAATCAAAATAAACTCAGCTGCACCGGTTGGTGAAGAGCATCGGATATCTATGCCAATGACTGCAGAGCCTTTGGCCAATGCTTTCAGAACTCCAGTATTTTATTTCTCAACAACAGGGTCTCAAGGTTTTTTTCCACACTTCACTCCCGCCAACAACAACCCCCCAATTTTCATTGCTTTCATTCCTGAATCATCTCACTTTGTTGCACTTACACTGAAGGATCCATTAAATTTCCCATTCCCATATCCTGTTGGTTTGAATATTTGGAGAAAGAATGCTGATTGTAAAGCTCTAGACTGGGAGCAAAAATACTCTAGTTGTATTATATTGGGTCAAGATAAATAGTGTTTTTTGAATTTTGGCTAGCTAGAAAATCTATATTTTTCATCTTTCTGTGTCTTTCATTCATCAAAATAAATCTAACAATCTGTCTTGAGCTTCAGAGTGATACATATAATATCTGATTGTTTAAAACTAAATAGCAGTACCCTCAATATTCTCTTCTTCCTCTTTATTGGTTTGTTCAAATGTAAAATTATGTACATCCCAATTTCTCAAGCCATCTAAAACACATTGTGCCATATCTTGATCTGAAATCTGTGGTAAGTTTGTTCTAGAGACTTGGTGATGTTGGAATGGATCATGAAATGAGGCTGTGTTGATCACATAATGTTTGTCATCTGCGTGAAAAACTTGAGAAGTTTTGATATCAGTTTCTTGATGCTCTACAGTGACAGTTTTGCTCATGTCAATTAGGCATTTATGCTGAACATTAATGCAAGCCTGGACTTCCTGTAAAAGAAACAGAGAAGGAAAACTTTATTTATTTTTCATCCAAAAAATAGAGCTGAAAATAACCTCCAAAACTCACATTGACATTAATGAACTGTTTTTAGTCTTTTCCCGGCATATTTCCCCCATTGAATAGAGCTCACTTATTCCCATAAGCTTGAAGTAATTAAAATGGATATAAAACTTTGATCTTGCAGTTGAATAAGATTCCCACAAGGATTCAATCAAACCAAGAATTGATTCTGAGCCATGTTGTTGAATCTGAAAATATGTGATGGATCAATAATTGATGGAAAACATAAATCTAGAAGATATCATAAAAAAAACACCAGGGACTTACCACAACAAAACCACCTTTCTCCAAAACTTCATGTTGTTTAATTTGAACCTTTCAAACTTGTCTGATTCTAGTGCTTGAGAAATGTTCAATCAACTGTTGTGGTACTGGGAGCTTGTTGTCTTGAAGGACTTGAACGGTTTGAGTAAATGAGTGTTGGGGAGGAGCTGGATTTGATGCAGTGTAGTTGTAACCAAAGGACTTGAGGATGACTTCATTTTTCAGGAAGATATTGAGAACTTCTTGAGAGGCTTTGCAATAGGTTTCAGTTTTAGGATTGTACATATAACCTCCAGAGAGAAGAAATCTGTGCGTGTAATAATTATCAAAAGTGATAGCAATATCTCTTCCTGGGCTTTGTCTCTTGGAGTGGATTGATGCATTGTGTAAGACACCATTGAATGATTCAAACTTTTCAGTGGCAAAAAGAGTTGCTGGTCCAAATCAACATATTGATTCAGGGAGGTGGAGGAGGCGGTGAAATTTTGGCTTGTTGACCCCCCACTGTGCTGTGGTTTTGATAGCATGATAAATGGAATTCTTGATGCAAATCTTTAGAAGGGTCAGATATTCTTCCATGTTATCGATTTTGGTGATAAAGATATAAGCCTTAGGCTGCTCCCAGACCACATGACTAGTGCTACCCTGAGAGGAGTGCCTGATTGGGGGGTGTTCATCCAGCTGCCTCACTTTATCTTGAATTTTTTTTTCTCAGTTGGGAATGGGGGCCACTGAAATTTGAGCCCCCCTTGACTGATTTTTTTTTTTTTCGGTTGGTTGATGAAATTTTTCTTTGACCACTTTGCACTCGAACACTTAACGCTCAACACTCATTGTACTCATCTCAATACTCATCTCAAACCCATCTGAACACTCATCGTACTCATCTCAACAACTCTAGGTCAGTACCGTTCCCTTCATCAGGGTACTTAAACTGACATCCTTCTCTCTCCCTCCCTCCCAGGTACCCTCATCATACCTTGTTTGGATTTGGACACTGTTGTGTCTGTGTGGATCCCCTGGTCACCGGTGAGTTCTCCTTGCTACACTCTATCCCCCCCCTCT